TCTGCTCCCATTGGGCGTGGAACAGCTGTAGATGCTCTCCTATGGGAGCCGTCCGCTGGTGGTCACTTTTCCCCACTCACCACCTCAGACAAACAGCCGTAGCGCTCTATTGCAGAGGCACTGAAGGCAAGGGCAAGCAAAGCTCAGCAGTCCTTTGATTCTGAAGGAGAATGGTGCAAGCTCCAAGCTCCCAGCACTCACGCAGGTCAATTAATGTGATGCGCGACCATGTGGGCCATCAACCTCCGCAGCCACCCTCAGTGTGATGGAGGAACTGTGAATAGGCAAACCTGCCAGAAGTCCAGACAGGAAGACTTCTAGCGGCGACCTGCAAGAGACAGGCAATCAGGCTGCTGTAGCTGCTTTTTGCGGCAAAAGTAGGTCAACAAAATGGCAGCCGGAACTTTTACCCTCTCAAAATGGCTGCCACCATGTTTGACGCTCTCAAAATGGCCATCGCCATGTGTGACCCTCTCAAAATGGCCACCGCCATGTGTGATGCTCTCAAAATGGCCATCGCCACATGGGAACCACCTAAAATGGCCACCCACATACACAGTAGAGCTCTGAGGCTCCGTTCCAACAGCCGGCTCACTCAGAAGCACGGTCAGCAGCAACGGAGGGCTCAGTGGGGATATAATTGCAGCAGGATCACTGCGATCGCGCTGGCATCGGCACTCCGACCATGCGCCTTCCCCAACAGCTGGCTGCAGCCTCATGGCACCTGAGCAAACCAGGGATACCGGAGAGGCTGAAATTGGTGAGAACCAGGGAATTAAATTTAAGGGAGACTCACAAAGCCTGCTCCAATAATCAGGAAATAGAATAGAATCTTTTTGAAGTAAATAGAGAAATAGAGAGTCCAAGTAGTCAAGAAACTGGAAGCGCGTCCACTGGGCTTAGCTGAATTGAAAAAAATCTGAAGAATAGCCAGCACCAGAGGCGTGGCTTAAAGTTTCAATTCAGTCCTGGGCAGATTGGCTGTATTTAACCCATGCTTGGACTCTCCAGAGCCGCACCCAGGAAAAGTTGTTTTATGTTTATGGAAATTGTTTCTTTTCAGTATCTATTTTTGATTTTCAAAGTCTAGTTTTGATTTGTCCTCTCTCTTCTACATAAATATTCTATGAATAAATATGTAGTAGCTAAGGTGCTGGACTAGCAACAAGGAGGCTATACGTTCATGACCTGTCTTAGGCAAGGAATTCAGCTGGGTGACTTGAACCAGTCTCTTAGCTCAACTCATCTTATAGGGTTGTGTATGGGGGAATAATAGCAGGTAAGTTCAACTAAGAAATAGTGACTGGCTCAAAGCCATCCAGCTGGATTTCATGCATTATATGCTGTCTTTGCAATAGATGATTGATTGATTGATTGATAGATAGATAGACAGACAGACAGACAGACAGACAGACAGACAGACATAGAAAGATAGATAAATGCAGGACAAACCAAATAAGTAATACAAATTGTTGAAGATTCTTTTTATGACTCCTAAACCATCTCTCCTTCAGAGTAAACCTACTCTGTTCACTCAGTTGTAAATTTGTGATATTAAAACAGTAACATAATGAAAAAATAGTTCTCATACCTCATCAGCAGTATAAACAAAATCTTCTCCCAATACAGAAGGATTATAAAAATTATCTAAAATGCTAAGCAAGCATCTACGGTCCCAATTATCAGTTACATGGCCTCCATATATTACTTCTCCAGTCAAATAATGCAATGCTACCCAAGGAATCTTTTGGTGCTTCTCAAGGAGCACTTCCAATATTTTGATCGAAAACTGGAAAAGAAAAGTTATCATTAGGAATTACTTTTTTATTACTTATTTGTTGAATACTTGTTAGCTGAATGCTTATTAGTTGAATAAGCTGAATAACACTTCAGATTCATGAATCCAACGAATCATTTTTTAAACATAGTAATATTTTCAATGTATTAAATAAGACTGGATGTTTAGAAAAGTTATTGTTTTATTATTATGAGCCTTCTGAGTCAAGCTATACCATGCTATAGATTGGGGAAATGTTATAGACATGGTTATAGCTTGACTTCAGAAGGTCCAATGAAATCTCTCTTAGTGTCATTAATAAAGGGATCAAATATGGATTTCTCACCATGTACACATATACAACCGAAGTAGTGTGTGTTTTTTCTCTGTGTCATATATGAGGGTATATGCATAATTTTGTATTTATTTATTTATTTAGTCATGTTTATGGAGTGTATATTGGAGGTGGTGACCCTTTGAGAGCTGCATGCAATGAAATTTCATTTTAATGTATGCTGATTAGTGTACATTCAAAGGGGCAATAAAATTATTCTAAGTTCCAAGTTTTTATTACTCAACAATTAGGTGGATCCACAGATAGCTTATGGATTATGATCAGTGAGTATTTATAAGTGGACTAAATCAATTATCTATCTGGAGAGACATATTCAGTGGGTGGCCACAAGACTCTGTCCTGAGCCTGGTTCAATATTTTTATAGATAATATGGATGAGGGAGTTGAGGAAAAGCTTACCAAATCTGCATATGATGCAAAGCTAGGAGGGATAGCTAATACCTGGGTATAGAAGGAAAATATTTTAAAAAGCCTTGTATGGTAGGCAAATTCAAAAAAGCTACAAACAGTGGATAAAAATGAAATATATTGAAATTTAACAGGAAGAAATGTAAAGTTATGCAAGTAAATAAGATTTTTTTAAAAACAGAATTTGGAAAATCTAGTTGAAGAGAAGCACAAGAGTTTTGTATACTAGTGAATCATAAGTTGAATATGTCCCAAAAATATAATGCAAAGAAGGCCAATGGAATCTTGAAGAGCAATTAAGGGAACAAAGAGTCCAGATCAGAGGTGGGTTCCTACCAGTTCGCACCTATTTGGTAGAACCGGTTCGTCAAATCTACCGAACCGGTTAGAAGA